TATATATATATATATATATATATATATATATATATATATATATATATATATCTAGATTTATAGAATATAACTTTTTCGCGAGAATATACTCTCTAAAATGAATCAGTCAAATATCATTGAAAACAGTGAATATATACTGACTTGCAGTTATAAGTATAGCACTGAAAGTGTCCAGTGCTATACTTATAACTGATATCAATGACTATTCACTGATTCATTTTAAGAGAGTACATAAGTATACATATTGTTCAGACTATTTGTTTCATTGGCACACACTACCACTCATTTCCTCGTGCTGTTATACGTCCCTATATTCCCGTATTTACCATCGTCGTTCAATATACAGCGGACGTGCCATATAAATCTTGTTGTTCGCATTTTCAATTAATTCTCTTACTCATATACGCGCGTATACTGTAGAATTATGAAACTAACATTTTGCACCTTCGCTGATCACAGTTTATTCTTAATTCTAAATAATGACCGGCGCGTTTCTCTAAAATTATTATTACGCTCTTTCCTCTCGTTCTCTCTTATCGTTTCAACATGAACATGAACCAGAAATATACGCATAGATATATAAGAAGTCTCGAGGAAGTACGTTCGCGTTTTATTTAACTAACCGGAATTAATTAGAGGGCATTTCAATCGAATTCCCATCAACACTTCTTTCATTCATTTTTCAAAGGTGTTGTCTTGCTTATGTGGGGGATTGAATTGCTCTCTTGGAATTTCTTCCTCTTATACTTGTCTGTGTGGGTATGTGTGTATATTTATACAACTAAAATATAAATATATAAATATAATAAATTTACCGCTACATTTAGTAGCACGAAAATGCGGCTTTAGTTCGAAGTCGTTGTCACGAATTTGCCGCTGTTGGAATACTCGAAAATAAAAATTGCTTGAGTAAAAACATAATGGCAGTGAATCAATCTGTAAATATAATATTTCCCAAAGTAATAAATTTAGCTTAAGACAATCTGTCTTATAGAAAATTTATCGTATAGTCTAAATATAAATATTTTTTTCTATTTAAGTAATTTACAGAATACTTATACAGTCCTTATACGTGATTAAAATTTAAATGATTGGTAACATTTTAATATTGGTTCATAAAAATGATATTAATGATTATAAAAATTATTTCAATATTACCGATAATATATATATGTTACATAAGAGTCTTGCATTAATTTGTTTACGATATAATTTGGTAATTAACTAATCATTTGCTAATTACTGCATTGAAAAGAGCATATTTCCTTTGCTAATTTTTATGGTAACTTTATTGATAATCTGTAATTATCGGTTGTGATGGTTTTGTATGCGCTACTTGGAATTTGATGTGCAAACACATCGCAGAAAAATCGTGAATTCAGGATACCAAGTTCAATTATTTTTCACAACTTGACAGGAGGAATTGTAACGGTTATCTTCAATGGCACATTAGCGATATATTAATGTTCCTCCTTGATATATTAGATCTTCTTGATTTTCGCATTGCTTACGTTATTCTTTGGAAGACTTCGTAGTTATGAATCAAATATATTTTCCAAGTATGTCTAACTTGACAATATTCGAAAATATTCGACACTGTATCTATATTTATTTTTAATGCAACTCTCAATTAATAAAGAATAATTCGATTATTTAGGTGCCATGAACTGATATGAATCTGTTATCACTTAACCTAACGTATAGTTACAGATATTTATATAGATACGTGCTATGTATATACTTTCTCCGATCACACATTTATTGTCTACAGTCACCGTGAAATAATACATGGTCGTACGAGAAGAAAAAGAATGATACTTTGTAATATCTCTTTTCTAAAAATCGGCAGAAAAGAGCAGGACTAGAAATGTCGTCAAATCCAGAAAATTTATCTTTCGTTCAGGACATTGTACCAGAAAAGGTGCGTCTCGTAGATCTCGTAGATGATACGATTGTAAGTACCTTGAAGGTAAAACAACGAGGTGCTACGACGTTCAATGGAATAGGACCAGTTCCAGAATTTCGAAAACTTCAGTGTACAGTCGACCTTTGACATGATGTCCCAGACAGGACAAATTACTGAAAGATATTTTGGAGATGTTCGAAAGACGTTCGAGAGACGCCTGGAAGAGATAAAACATCTTTCGGGCATCTTTAAAATACCTTTCAGCAAGCTGTCCGTGTATTATCCCACAAGATTCTACCGAACTGATCGCAATCGATCGTCCTCGCGGAGTTCTCGCAATTACGTCGCAATCTGACGTCGCGAGATATGTGCAACTCACAGTCGCGATGTTCCCGAAGCTAATAGACTTCAAGGTTTCTGATGGGTTCTCATGTGCAACACTAGATTGTGCTTGTGCTTCGACTTCTTGTGGCAGATAGGACACTCGAATTGCGGCTCTACGCCGCACTCGAATTTGATGTGTCTGTTCAACGAGTGCGGCCTGCTGTAGGCATTGCCGCAACGTGGACAAGAGTACCACGCCGTGGTGTCCCGGATCGATCCAGCGGTCCACTGGCTGCCGTTGATTTCCGCCTTCGACTGGCCGTTTTGTACTTTGATCGTGTCGACGTGCTTGCCAGGGCAGGCGTTCGCCGGGTCCTCGATCGTCGTTGTCTCCGTCGTCGTCTCCGCTAGCTGGTTCTCCGCCATCAATCGAAGATACATCGTCTGGTACTGATAATACCAGTCGATCGCGGTGCTTGGCGAGTAGTTGCGTTCTAGAAAACACACATTAAGATCAGTACAACTTCTGCCGGGACCTTCGCGCCCTTCCGCCTCGGGGATAGACAATCGTGGTTAGCCTAAAAGGGATTATTATCAATCACAAGGACACGGACGTATACACAGCATGAGTAGAGCTACACGTAGCCATACACCGTGAAAGCGATTGTCAGCAGAGCTAGTCCTAGATAATTTTAGGATCTTCTTGGGATCGCGGGATCTCTTCCTCGGGGAAAGAAGGAAAGAGGGAAGAAGTCTATTTTTTCTCTTTGTCGCGGGGCGGATGTGTAGATAAGTTTTGTTCGCGCGTTTACACGCTTGAACGTATTCGAAATTGCTCTTTTAGTTTACTTAATATCGCACGGTCGAATAATGGGATACAGTTTGTTCGTGTTTCGCGCCTCAGAATGTTCATCTTACATACGAACATCACTGATGCTTGTTCTAAACCCGAACCTCATGTACCGATAACAGATCTGTCTTTTGCTGTCGCGATCGCAACCAATAACTCGGTGTCTTCTCAGATTTCCTTTGTGTTTACAGCTTTGCTTGCGTTCGTAATTTGATCCCTGCGGAATATTTCTATAATTCATCCTATATTCGCGCGCGCGCGCATTTTCCAATCCGCACCTGAAAATTGGAGGATTAGTGATTAATGTGCTGGGTATGATCGATTTCGTCGTTGTGTTCGGCGGCCTCTTCACGAAAATCATGCCGTGAGATCAACGTTATACTAATTAATGAAGGATTATGATTATTTTATTGTGACAGCTGGATAGGTTTATTTTAATTTTAGTATGACGATGCTAAGGACAGATATGATTTATTTATCGCTGGCTGTTTTAATTTTGTCATTCAATCGAGCGCAAAAGATATATCCAAAGATATATTCGATATTTTTTATTCGATCAGCTATGATGGTGCAAATCGCCATAATTAATCCTAGAACGCTAAACATAGATAAAATTTACACAGCCAACTTAAAAAAAAGTGAACTTAAAAAAAACAAGTATCGTACTTAAGCTTAAGTATCGTACTTGTCTTGCTTCTTTATTATAACTTTTTTTTTTAACTTATATTGCAATGCAAAAAATATTATTAGAATTATATTCATATAATAATCATTTTTATTCTGATAAAAAGAAAAATATTAAATTTTAATCATTTTTCCGGGCATGAACAAAAGAAGATGCGCTCGGTAAAATTTTCCCATATTTAGAGTTTATGTAACTTTTTAATATGTTTAGGATTCTAGGAGTTCATTAAATTAATATGCAATTAATTTTTTAAAACTTAATAACTTTTTAAAACTAAAAGATATGAAAAATCTAATAATTTATTGACGTTAATACTGAAAAATATGTATTCACATTTCTATCATAGGGGAAAAGACGAGAAGTTCAATAGCGTGTGAACTCTCAATTATATAAATAATTATATAAATAATATAAATATAAATACAACCAAAGAATAGAGTAGAGCAAGAAATATTGCGCGTTAAAGACTCAATACGGATAGATAGTTTGTATTAATGGAAGTATATTTAATTTTCTGTCTATATATTATATTGTATAAAGGGAGATAAAGAAAACGTGTG